CAAGCCCTGTGTTCCAGAATGCCAGGGTCCTAGGGAAGTTGTTTCTCAGGATTTGGTTCATAGCCACTGGATCTCTACAGCCAAGAGAAGGAAGTGTGGCTACTGCTCCAGCTGCCAACAGATCTTGGTATGGTGATATATGGTGCTGCTTTTAAGTACATGCAGAATGCAAGAGTTGTAGGGTCAGGAAGGCTTTCATCCAGATTTCAGAAGACAGCCTGAGAGGCCGGGCAGTGCGCCCCTGAGGGGCAGTGTGTGAAGGTGCAGTGGAGACCCCAGAAGGTTGTGTGAAACTTCGAGTGTAAGCCAAGGGTGCAGTGCAGACCCCAGAAGGTTGGAGAAGCCAGAACATGGATCATCTGAGAACTGCAAGGAGGAAGCAGAGCTGGCCCAAGAGAGAAGCCGTGGGAACTACAACCACCCACAGTGCCACAGGGGCGGAGCCACCGAGGCCCTTTGGAGTTCACATTTTGCCACAGATTGCCTCCAAAACTGTACATGGAACTGCAGGACTTAATGTTTGCCCTGCTGGATTTTGGACTTGCTTTGCTATCATTCTTTGTATCCTTCTATTTGTAACTTTTGGAATGGAGATGTCTATATTGTGTCATTGAATGTTGGAAGTGTTTAACCTTCTTTTCATTTGTACAGAGGCTTGCAGCTCAGAGTTTGCCTTAAATCTCAGAGGAGACTTGGGACTTGGACTTTTCAGTAATGCTGAAACTTTATCAACTCTTGGAGACGGAGATGAAGGGATATGCATGAGTCTTTGGGGGGCCAGTGGAGGAATGTTATGGCTTGTGTTTAGTAGTGTGCCTAAGATAAGAGGGACAGAAAGATGCTATGGTGCTCTCTTTTCTTTTGGTTTTGCTGTTTTCTGCCACCATGAACTGTTCTCTGCAATGCCTCTCTGCCATGTTTCACTCTGCCTTGGAGCTGGTCAACTATGGACTGAAATCTCTAGGAATTGTAAGCCAAATAAACCTTTCCTCCCTTAACTTGTGGGTACTGGAGATTTTGTCTCAGCAACGAGAAGAGTAACTAAGACATCTAGATTTAAATCTGCCTGATGGCTCTCTCTCCAATTTCTTTTTTCATATTTTTTTACTCCCAGATTTTATTTTTTTAAACACATATATTGCTTTTGGTTGTCCATGTCTCTTTGGTCTCTTTTAATCTAAAACATTCTCTCAGCCTTTTTGTGTTTTTCAAGGCACTTTATTTTCATTTTTTAATTTGCTAGAACTACTCTGTATTGCTACCTGTGTGCACCACTGGTGACATCGTTTGGACACACACGCTGCCCGCTTGTCTCCCAAGTGATGGCATCCACACTGACTACCTGATTAAGGTGCTGACCACTGGGTCTCCCATCAAAAAGCCAAAACTCACCCTCTGCAATTAAAAGCTAATCTGTGGGGATATTGTTAAGGCTGTGAGAATATTTGCTCCTCAACATCTCTTTACACAAGAATTAGTTGCCACTGATAATCTTATCTAAATCAACTACTGAGAACTAAATTCTATCATTCCTTCTACGTGAATTTTTAAAAATCCATTTGTTTGTTTTGTAGTACTGGGGATTGACTCTAAAGCCTTCACACCAAGCTACATCACTAGCCCTTATTTTCTTAATTTTTCTTTTTTTTTTTGGTACCAGGGATCGAACTTGGGATCTTGCGCTTGCGAGGCAGGCGCCGGAACTACTGAGCTAAATCCCTGGCCCTTAATTTATTTTTTAATTCATTAAATTTATTGGTACATTTTAGATATACAATATGATGACATTCATCATTGGGAATTTGTACCTTTACATAATCTCTCTTGGTTCTTATTTTTTTCCTCCTTCCCCGCCCTCCCTATTTACAAACACTTTGTTTCCAGTTTTTCCTTTTCTCATATTTCTTTCTTTCCTTTCTTTCCATTCCCCAACCCCTACCACTTCCCCTTTTTCCCTTTTCTTCCTACTTCACATTGACTACTGTACATTTTGAACCTCATTTACACTTGCAGTTTCTGACGCCAGAGAAACTATTTGGTATTTACATATGTGGAGCAGGCAGCGAAACCACTGAGCCAAATCCCGGCCCTTGGTATTTACATATGTGTATCCTATTTATTTGACAAGAGTATGGCCTCAATGTGTATCCACTTAGCTATAAATGTCTCTAGTTTCTCATTCTTTATGGCTGAGTAGTACTCCATTTTATATAAAAAAAACTCCCCATCTTCTTCATCCAGTCACCAGTTGATGGGCACTTGGGCTGTTTCCAAGCTTTAGCTAATACAAACTGTACCGCTATAAACATGGGTATGCATATATTGCTGTGGTATGATGCTTTTAATTCTTTTGGGAAGATACCCAGCAGAAGAATGGCTGGGTCAAATGGGACCCCTTATTTTTTTATTTTGAGACAGGGTCTTGCTATGTCACTAAGTTGCCCAAACTGAGCTTTAACTTGTAAACCTCCAGCCTCGGTCTCCCAGAGTACTGCAGTTATAGTCATGTACTATCATGCCTGCCCAAAAATCCAGAGTTAATCCATTGCCCCTCCTCCCCGATACTCACACTGTCCCAAATTTGGCCAGTGAATCTCTTGAAGCTATCATCAAGTTCTTTTTTGGCATGACCCCACTAGCTGAGCACTTCCTAGCTTTTTATCTCAACAAGGAGTCCAGGCTCACCTTGTACTTCCCCTGCCCCAGACAGGAAATCAGCTGTTCCTCCAACCACCATGGCTCCTCTTACTAGGGAGCATCAAACTGTTCTTATGATGAGTAATTTTGCTAGTCTCTCTTACAGCAGCCTCTAGGTATTTGAAGCTATATGCTGTTTCTGCCCCAAACACCTCCCCAGACTTCTATGACTAGGCTGTTTTACCAGTTCTTCACACCCGACTTCCTCTGATTTGGCTTTGACTTTCTCCTTTGCATCTCTTTCATCTTCCTTGTCCTAACTCAACCGCTAGATTGGAGGTCCTCACCTGGCTATACATTAGAATTACTGGGAACCTGTTTAATATACAGATTTTAAAGATTTGTTCCAGACTACTGAGTAGATTCCCTGGAGCAAGACATGAGATTTTGTTTTTGAAGCTCCCCACAAGATATCAACAGAGCAGCTCCAATGCATGGGTCTGTTTCTCCATGGCCTTGTGAACCTGGAATTGGATACACTGTAAAACTTAGACTTTTACAGAATTAGGTAAAAAAGGTGGTCTTGAGCTACCTTTACTTGTATTATGTATTATACTTATTCAATAGTAAGCAAATCAATACAAACCTGTTTTGGGGGGAGGTGGAGGCAATCACAAAATTTTTGACTCATGATGAAATTTATGAAGAGCTAAATCTTGAAGATTTTTAAAATATATCGCCTAAGTTACATCGTCCCCATCTTTTTATGTTCTATTGGTGTTTCAGTATAAATACTGGCACTAAATATTACAATTTACAATGCTCAATTCATTCGAACTTTCAGTATGTCAAAGTTCTCATGAATCCTGGTTTTATCATCCCAAGTAATTTTTTGCCCTATCCTTTCAACTTAAATATGGAATTATGCTCTCAAAGTTTTCTTAGGTAGCATTTCTTTTTGCTATTTTTTAAAACTGCATTAAAATCAGTCTTACAAAGTGCATTATTTATTGCAGTAGACACAATTTATATGTTTGTCAAAAGTTGTAAGACCACACACAAAAGTAGTGAATTTTAATATAACCCAAAATATATACCTGAAGAAAAAAAAACCAGTCAATATTCTAAATATCCAGTTATATTTTTTTCTTGGGTTGGTTCTCACTAAGCTTTTTGACTGACAATTTCTGCAAAATGCATATTCTAAGTGATCGAGTTGCCAGAGATTTTATATTTTTATTCAATGATAGCAATGCAGTCTAGGGTTTGATCCCTTGACCAAGGATTTGTTTTACCAGACCAGTCAATCTAATGAATGCATTATTACCATTTTTATCAGTTCCCACAATGCAAAAAAGAAAAAAAAAAGGCTACGGAATACAGAATAAGGGGAAATTATTAGAAAAATTACAATCTTTCATAGAACAGGGTTAAAATATCTAATATAGTTGGAGGGAGGAAAAGGAAAGTAAAAAGAATTAGGATGTGTTACGTACAGGTACTGACCTCTCGTGATGAATGTAACTGTAGGTACTGTAAATATGTACTGATAAAACCAAAAAATTTTAAAAATACATATCTAATATAGCCTGTCAGTCTTACCTAAGAGAGAAAGTCAGACAGATTTCTACTTTTACAAGTTTGAAAAGATTTTTAGAACCATTCTTCAGTGCCTGTGATGATTGAGTGCAACACTCTTAGTGCAGGCATGAAGCTTAAGTGGTATAGAAGCTTTCTGGCCATTTGAAATGACTGAAAAAATGTACAAGAATTCATCTGTGTGTGTGCACGGGTGTATTATAAAAAGTATAGGAGGAAATACAACAAAATCTTAGTATTAGCTAGCCATCTCTGGTTGATGGAAGGCAGACTAGATTTTGTTTTGTTTTACAATTTTTTTTAAAAAATATTTTCTGAATTTCTATAGTGAGATTATATTGGGTTTTTGTTTTGTTCTTTTTGCAGTGCTGGGGACTGTACATGCTAGCTAAGTAGCTCCATCACTGAACTATATTCTCAGGCCTCTATTAGTTGTATAATTAAGAAAAGGGCAAAATACATTTATAAAAATACTGATGAAAGGGAGAACAAAGTAAGTCACAAAAGGAAGAAAATGAAAATCATCTTTTATGAATACATATCTGTCACTGATAGGAATTCTCAAAGTAAAACATGTCTTCCGAGTAGTCAGTAATTTTACAAAGAAATTTTATTCAGAGAAGGAAAATTATTTCCCTTGTGAAGCTTCTCTGAATGCCACAGAAGGTTCCAATACACAGTAACACCATACAGGGCACTTGCATTGCTTCCAATGTTTTTCAAATAAACTTTATATGGAATCATCAAATACTATAAATTCATACCTGGAAGAACGATGCTCTGGTTTATTTCGTTCGTTGCGATCTGTAAAGAAAGACCATTGTAAGTCAGATGCTCTTAAAAGGCTGTTGAAAAAAATTCTCAAATACCAGCTGCCATACCATTAGGTGTCACAAGGTAGCTGCGTCTTTCCCCGGACAATGCTCCCCCTCAGAGTGGAGAGGACTCGCTAATGGGGAGGCAGGCACACAACGAAGGACAGGAGCAGAAACTTTTAGGGTTTGTTAAAATCATCTACTTGGAAATATATCATAACAAATATCATTTCATTTAAAAGATCTTCACTGTGTTAAATACTTTGCTGAAACCAAAATAGATCTAGTTAGAGAAGGAAAGTGAGGAAACAGAAAAGCCACAGATTACTCAGCTCAAAAAAATCATTCCATGAATCATGGTTGGCAGATTTTAACAGAATGGGGAGGGGAAAAAAATGAGCAGTAAGCGACAACATCTGCAAATACACTAAGACCAGAACAGCCTCACCCTTAACTCTGTATCACCCAGAACATACGGAAGTTGACTTCAATATTTACTATTAGGTGTGATCCCTCTCTCTCTCTCTCTCTCTCTCTCTCTCTCACACACACACACACACACACACACACACTAACACCCAGAAATAAACTTTTTGGTTGTCCAGCCTGGGGAAGGAGCGTTAGTGGGTAGAGACCAGAGATGCTAAGTGTCCTGCAATCCACAGGGAACGCATCCCCACCCAAAAGAATTTATTTCATACAACATGTCAAGGGTGAGGAATCTTGCTATAGGGTGAGAAATAAAAGCAGAGCTGCGTGACATTCAAGAGTGCTTTTCTAGACTGCTACAAAATTAATTAACCCGAAGACTATCAAATACAAGAGAACCACAAAACCCACACAGTCCTTTTTTATTTGTTTTTGAGACAAGGTCTCACTATGAAGTTCAGGCTGGCCTTGAACCCACTATGCAGCCCACGCTGGCCTCAAACTTGTGGTTATCTCTCCGCCTCAGCCTCTCGAGTGCTGTTATTACAGGTATGTGTGACCATGTCTGGCAGTCTTAAAAATCTGAGTCATAATTTTCCCAGTATATGCTTAATAATAGAAAAAGTAAAAAATCATCAGTATTATGGAAGAATTAACAATAGAAAGCAATATACAAAACCGCAATATAGTTCTATGCAATTAGTCTTCAAAAAAAATCCTAAGAAATATTATCAAAATAGTTTCCCAGAATATCTTCTGATTTAATAGCAAAGCTAGAATTAAACAGAAATTCTTTTTTACCCTTAATTTTATTGCTGGTAGAGCTGTACAAACAGTATTATGAAAATGTACTCTAAAAACTTCTAGAGAGAAATATAGAGGAAAAAAAGAATTGGACTTACAGACTTAAAGGTATGTATCAATTCTCTCTGAATGGGTTCATAATAAAAATGTTTTTTTAAGCGAGAGAGTCAGTATACACTAAGACATTGTTTTCTGAAAGATTAACAAGTAGAAGAATTCACGATAAAACATGTTTGTTTAGGTATAATGCTCTCCAAGTGCATAATGCTGGTGCTTCTGGTTCTAATTTCTCTACACTGATTTAATATTACAGCATCTTTTAAAACTTTCTTAGTTCAACTTAGTTTTACCACTCCCTTAAATAAAATTCTGGGCATATATAATCATTTAAAAAATCACTCCTCGCCTGGTTTTAGAGTCTGTTGGTTTTGCTAACAAAAGCAAAGCTAATAACTGGACACAGATCAATTATTCTCATATAGCAAAGCGATAATGCTTACCTGTGGCTGAAGATGAACTAAAATTCTGCCCAGAAAATCATCTGCTGCAGCTGTGATCTAGTTTCGTACAGTTTATTTAGGCAAGAGGAGAAACAGAGGCAAAATACATGTAAACAAGCCTCAGCAAGCTACGGGCCCCTCCAGGGCCCACTCTGATTGGCAGATGTGTTATGACCAGTCTGCACAGCTGGAATGTAGCCACTCAGGAAGCAAAGGGCCCATGGCTCTCCTTCATTTTTGGTTAAAACAGGAAATTCTATAGTCATTTTTACACTTTCTGCTCTACCAAAATACAAATGCCTTCCCATAGTACATCTCTACTGAACTAGTAAATAAAATCCAAGAAAACAACTGTGACAGGACATTTTAGATATTTTCTCCCAAATTCACTCTTAGTGTTATGATTCCTAGTAAATATGCACAGTGCTTGTTACACATTATTCCGAGGAGCCTACATTGTTGATAATTTGAAGGTCAGGGTAAATTATCATTACTTATAATATTCCCCACTCCTCATCTCTTGATAATAGGAAACAAACTGAAAAACATGTTCTCAGCTTCATCTTTTTTCCTCAAAGTACACAAATAGTTGGATTTTTCCAGAGAACCAGATTTGAGCTTGAATACACATAAATATGTGGAGGGAATGTGTGTTGCTGTATGTGGTGTGCATCTGTGTGTCTTGTAATCTTGTGCTATAAAAAATGTGTATATTTTAAGCAAAGTATTTTTTATGATAGCCAAGACTATTGTGCAATTCTGAAGAAATACATTAGAGGAAATGTGAAATTTCTGGCAAAATAATAAGCTGTTATTATTTTGGTCCAAAAGCCAAGACTGAGAAAAACAAATCACTGAGGGAAGATCTGGGCTCTGCTTTGACGCCAACAATAACAAAACATTTAGATACAATCCCCTTAAGAATGAGAACAGATCAATAGCAAACACGGAAATTTCACCTTGGCTATCTAAACTCAGTGCTTTTGGAGTATGAATTTTATTTATTTCAAATCAAATACTCTATAGCACATTCCCTCAATTTGCTTTAGAGTTTCTAATTTTTAATAATTAGGAGAAAATATACTTGTGAAGGCTTTCTAACTTTTGCATATTTAGAAATCACATGAATAATTTACTAGGCTCAAAGTCTCACCTATGAAAAACATTATGAAATATAAAATGCTGTAACTCTCAAATTCTTCTGTCTGCCAAACGTTGCACATGATATATTAACGCCAGGGATCCACCAAGCAGAGCACGTGATTTAGTTTACTCAAGGCCAGCACAGCATTCTCAGTGTGAGGGTGAACATAATTGCACAACCATGTAAAGTCTGCTGGTTTTGAAGATCTACTGTGTATGTCACACATGTGCACATACATAGCCCTCGTGACACTCATCTATGCCTCTTGGTCCATGAAGCTAATTGGGGCAGTGGAAAAAATCTGCAAGCAGAAAACCAAGCCAAGCCAACCCAGTCTGCTAATGGCTCTGGGAGGATAAATGAGGGACAATTTAAGGTGGCAAAGAAGGAACCTACAGTGAGTGAATCAAGGGGACTGGAGAACAGCTCGGGTAGTGTAAGAAGCTCTTGTAGGTCAGAGACTCTGTGTAAGAATTCCAGATTACCCACATTTTCCTTTCATGGTAATTTCTGGTCCTAAGCAATGTAGGAATATACGATTCCAATGTTTATGTACTTAGGAGTTGTATCACCTACACAGAAAGGAATGCACACTCGGCAGGAACAGCTTTGTGGGAACGGCCAGACAGATCCTACTGATGTGGAATCATATTGGGTGACTCTGAATCTAATAATGACAAAATATTTTGAAATGGAGACAGCAAAACTACAAATGTCATTTTTTGCTTTGATTATAACTAAGAATGGCCGACTCAGAACCTACGAAAGGAATCTGTTGTAAGATATTCAGGCTTTGATGATTTGGCTTTGATCACTTAACTGAACAGAAAAATCAAACCTCCTTGAGTAGGTGATATAGGAGAGATATAACTTCCAATCTGAAGTGTCAAGTTCGTATTCCCAAAAACTGAAGAATGAATTCCAAGAACAATGGAGGTTAAGAGTGGAAAAGATTTATTGAGAGAGGAGATAGGACACACTCAAGGGGGGAGTGTGGGTTCTCAAAAGAATGAGGCACACACAACCGGCAGCTGGGGAATGGGAAAGAGGAATAGCTCCAAGAGACAGGAGGGGTCCCTAGTGGGTTGCCGCTGAGGTCATCTTTCCAAGAATGTTTTATAGGACAAAGTCATGAGGTGGATACAACATGGGTTAAACTATAATCAACCAAGAAGATTACAAGTATAGCCTGTTAGCTAATATTGATCCAATAATGAAGCAGGACATGTAGCAAGGGCACATGGATGACGTCATTAACCGTGGTTGATAATCTGTGGTCTTAGTCTTGTCTTTAGTCTTAGTAGTTATAGGCTTAATCTTAGTGGGTGGGAGAGGATGGCCTACCCCTACTGAGATAATGGTCTATTTCTATGGGAAATCCCAAAAGAGTGGTACCAATTATTGTATAATCTTAAATTTCCATTTACATCTTTAATCTTGAGGTCTTGCCTTTGTTTGTTCCAGGGATCGAACTCGGGACCTTGCGCTTTCGAGGCAGGTGGTGGAACCACTGAGGTAAATCCCTGGCCCAGGTCTTGCCTTTTTTAGATACACCTCCAGCCACAGTTTTGATGTGTTTTCATCTTCTGCACCAACTCCCTTGAGGGCCTAGCTCTGTCTGACTCCCTGTTAATTTTTATCTAACTTAGCTGCTTATAATATAGGGACCAATTTACCTTACTAACCAAAGTCATAAGTGAGAGGTTGTAAGCTGTTCTTTGAAATTAGGGGAAAAACTCAATTTCCAGGATGAACACATAGAGAGACACTCTCAACAAAGAAGGGGGTAGTATAAAGGGAATTTCTCTTACATCTCATATTGGAGGAATAAAATTTCTTTTTAGGAAGAGTATGGTCTATGAAATGATTCTATAGCATACAAGCATTATCATCAAGTTCTAACTTGAGAGTGTGTGTGTGTGTGTGTGTATGTGAATTTTTAAAAAAAGGGTCTCACTGTGTTAAGTAGGCTGGTCTCAGACAATCTACCTGCCTCAGCCTTCTGAAGTAGGTGGGACTACAGGTACATACCACATTGCCCGGCTTATTATATGGTATTTTAAAACCATGGACCATTCCAACATAAATCCTTTGTGCCATTTAATACTAACC